AATACTTCCTACATTAATAATAAATTTTAAATATACATATATATTTTAACGAACTGGTAGTTTTGATACAAATATGTCCGCAGTTTATGATGAACTGTAAGAGATATTGTAGCTAAAGTACGAGATAATAAATTTCAAAATTGTTTATAAAAGATTTGAATTAAATTATATAGGTATACATATTTACAAATAATATAAATTCTAAGAAAAATTATAGATTAGAGCAAATATTTCACATAGTTTCACCAAAGTATATGCATTTGAATAGAATAAAATAACATTTACGACAAATAATTCCATCTAAAACTATCTGCTCATTATTTGATCCAAATACTATTTTTTTCAGTGTAGTGGCGACTACTCGAAAGAAGTACAATGGTAGCACTCATTGAAACCACATGCTCTCTTGTGCTTTTTTATCGCTTCTGTTCCGCCATTGTTCCGCTATTAAACTCTGGTGTTTTTATTAAGAAACCGGCCAGTATCAGCCTTTGGAAGTACTCTCCCGTACTAAGTGTCATTGTGTAAGAAGAAAAGTAAGAAAACCACCGATCATTTTTCTTCATATTCTCAGTTATTTCATTGACATATGCCAGTAACAAAAAAATACAGTCCATTATTTCTAATTTCTATTCTATTTAGTTCTATGATTTTATTTTAAATTTCACTTATCAAATTACTTGAATTTTGTAAAATTAATTACATACTACTATTTTGTTATGAATATATTATAACATTTTCAATTCATCGTCATTTCGAAAGAGCGCTAAAAATTTTAAACTACACTAAATATCTCCATTAGCACGTAATTAAAAAAATTCGGTTGTTTCCTGAACAAACCTCGTATTTTTTTCGTACTTATTTATTTGCGCTCTGTACCATATAGGCCAGGAAAATAAGCTGGAAAATGACCATTTCGCAACTTTTTGTTTCGGCAAGCTGAATTTATCACTGTAGATGCTAAATATTATGTACAATAACATATTAGTTTTCACAGTCATAAAAATGGGGGGAAGATTGNTCTATGATTTTATTTTAAATTTCACTTATCAAATTACTTCAATTTTATAAAATTAATTACGTACTACTATTTTATTATGAATTTATTATATTTTCAATGCATCGTCTTTTCGAAAGAACGCTAAAAATTTTAAACTACACTAAATATCTCCATTAGCAGGTAATTAAAAAGTTTTGGTTATTTCCTGAACAAACCTCGTATATTTTCCGTACTTATTTATTTACTCTTTGTACCATATAGGCCAGGAAAATAAGCTGGGAAATGACCATTTCGCGACTTTTTGTTTTGGCGAGCTGAATTTATCACTATAGATGCTAAATATTATGTACAATAACATATTAGTTTTCACAGTCATAAAAATGGGGGGAAGATTGTTTACAGGGTGGTTAATTGTATGATTTTTACGTAAATTCACGTTTTTCGCTTATAACTTTTTTCCTTTCATTTCCACGAGAAAACAGTAGAGTACTTTTTTTTCGTCTTCAAAAGACCTACAAAACTAGCCCTCGAGCGTAAAAAAATATTGATTAAATCAAAAGTTATAAACAGAAGAAGTTTATTTATGCATGACTTTTGAATTAAACATTTATTTTATAAACTGCGTTATTATTACCAGAACGTTTTGGCATCGCATCCTCTCACTCCTTATCACTTTCTAATAACTCACACGAAATCTGGCATCGGTAAGTTGAATAGTAGACCGATCGAAATAACTCATTTAGAGGGAAAAAAATTGTTACCTGGACTTTTATAAGTGGAAATGATAAAGGGGCTTATAATAAACGTAAAAAAAATAAATGCGTGAGCAGGGGCGGCGGAGGGTTGATTTGGGGGTTGAAAAGTGGTGAAAAATTGTATCATTGAGATTTTTGGCGAAAGTTGATGTCAAACAAAAAAGTATCTAATACAAAAGTTATAGATCATGAAAAAATCTACAACTCTTGTAGAGGGCACTTTTGAAGATAACCTCAAAATTTCCGAGAAAAATGCGAAAAACGGGTTTTTCCCTTTTTTTTTCGTTTTTTATTTCTCATTTCCGCTAAAATAATTTAATTTTGACGAAACTTGGTGAAAGTATACTTGGCTGTGTCTTAAATAACCACAATTTTTTTTTAGAAAAAAAAATCGAGAAGTTTCCGAGATATTCATATTTTCCGGTCTGAAACACTTTTTTTCAAAGAAAAATTCTACTTAAAAAAATCATCGTACAGAGTTCTGCCGGTAATCATTTTTTTCGTTTTGACATATACTTTCTGGTGAAATAAAAAAATTTCGAGTTATTGGACAGTGATAAGGATTGAGAGGTTACGATGCCAAAACGTTCTGGTAATAATAACGCAGTTTATAAATGTTTAATTGAAAAGTCATAAATAAACTTCTTCTATTTATAACTTTTGATCTAATCAATATTTTTTGACGCTCGAGGGCTAGTTTTGTAGGTCATTTGAAGACGAAAAAAAGTACTTTACTGTTTTCTCATAGAAATGAACGGAAAAAAGTTATAAGCGAAAAACGTGAATTTACGTAAAAATTATACAATTAACCACCCTGTAATCTTCCCCCATTTTTATGACTGTGGAAACTAATATGTTATAGTACATAATATCTAATAATATCTATAGTGATAAATTCAGTTTGCCGAAACAAAAAGTCGCGTCCAACTCTATATTTCCTGGTCTAATAGTAAGGTATTTTATCTTTAAATCTGTCACGTGCACTAATCTAATATTTGCAAGAAATATGATCCAAAATTTTTCAAAACAGTCATTTAGATTTTAAAATGAATCAGTTCAATATTTTCAGCTGCTCCAAGTTATCCAGTCAGAAATCTCAGATCAAAATCGTCCGATACACCCGCACAAAGCAGATCGCAGATTAAGATAAGAAACAGACATCTGGTTAGGCATATTAGACCCAATCATTGCAAGGACACTCAATCGAATCTTTGGCGGATTTTAGTAGGAGGACCTCTCGCACAGACGCGGGCCACGCTCCCCGCGGGGAACTTCCTAAAACCACAAACAAACTCCATCGACAATGGGCCCGGTCTCCGCAAACAACCCGAAGAAAAGCTAAGCCGCCTTTTAATACTTGTTACCATACAAGATCCGCAGAAGATACTGTAAATATACTGGAACGGTAGATCCTTGAAATGCAATATTCCGACGCGTTATTGTTGAGGTTATGTTTGCTGCTCTGTGCTCTTTTCAAGTCACCCACAATGGGTACAGGAATATTAGGAGATTAGGCTTTGTTAGGGCTTGTCCACTGTGTGCATTATGTGGCCTATTAGGTATTTACTTTTTTGTGCACGTCGAGATTTTTGCTGCAGTTGAATGTGTAAATGGGTAAGTTTTCGTGTATGCCGTAAGCCTAAAAGTATATGTTTAGTAAATAGGGGATTTACAGCTAAAGTGAAAACGTTTTGAAGGAAGTTTAAATATAACACCTCCCAACAATGAAATCAATTTTTATTGGAACATGTAGGTATTACGAACAAAAAAAGAACATTAAAGAAAAAATTAGAGTATACCGGGTGATTCACATAAAATGCCCCGGTCTGATAACACAGCTCCACAAAAAATGATGTTTTTTTTCAACCCTCGATGGAAATCTGTTCTTTTTTACTTATGCTTAAGCTGTTCATAGTGATTCTTTCTGTCTCTACAATCCCATATAAATACATCAGAAACAGGGGTGAAAGATTAAGTTGGCAATTCTGGCTCTGGATTCTGATTCAGCGCGCCAAAATACATAAAGTTACATATTAAAGTCCGGCGGTATTGCCCGGAACCCTGGGGTTCCCCACAACCTATCTGGGAGTCCCGCGACTCAGTCAAAAATTCAAAATTTTGAAATTAATAATATCGATATCTAAATGTATGTATTTTTTCGAAGAAATTTTGAAAAAATTCTATTTGTTGCTAAAATGGATAAAATCGAAAATGTTTAAATGGGGATTGATAGTTAAGACTCCAAAGGGTAAGCATATAAATTGGGAGCTCAAAATAATAATTGGTTTTACTGTGAGACAGAATTGAAAAATAAGTATAATTCTGTATTTTCTTAATTAACAATTGAATTGTGCGAAATCTACCCGGCCGATTTCGATGAAAAGATTTCTACAATACTATCATATCATGAAGTACTCAGAACCATACTTTTTATATGGCTGCTCTAAAGTCAAGGTCCGAAATAAATTCATGAAAAAAATATCTTTTTTCAAAATTTTTTTCGGTCTATACTGTATTGCAGCAACAATAATGCACTTAAAAACTTCGGACATTTTTATTTTGAAGAGAATCTCAAAACGAAACTTTTTTTCCTTTGACTATTTTCTCTAATGTCAATATTCTACGAGTTATACATGAAAGAAGAGAGAAAAATGCACCTTTTTAATTTTTTTTTACATTTTCTTGCGCTAATAATTATGCACAACTTTTCAGCGGGTGCATATCGCAATTATCATTTTACATAATATTTCCAACAAAAATTAGCGTTACTATATAAAACATCCACACAACCTACTTTTAAAACAGATACAGACTAGACTAAATATTTATTTTGTTAATCGTAGTATTTATAAATATATTATAGAATCAGTAAAAAATGTATTCGAAAATTTTTGTAGGTTTCGCAAGTCGTAAAAGTTTGAATACCGCTGGTCTAGTCTTTGAAACAGATCACTTTTTTTTTGTGTGTTTGTGTAATCCTTATAATTCTAAAATTCGAGATTATTAGTCATTCTAAGCTATTTTTCAGGTCAGAAAATTCTAGCGATTTGCTGGGGCAATTCTGATATCGGATTCGGATTCAGCGGCTCAAAATACATGGGAATACATATGCCGGACAATGATTTTCAGCAGCTGTTAAACCACAGAAACTAATTTATTAATTTTTTGGATTTTAACCTTTTTTAAGGTTAGGAAGAATTTATGACCTTTTGGGCCTAATCTGACTTCGGATTTGTGTTCATCAGATCAAGATACATGGGAATATAAAGATCTGACCTAGCTTCAGCCGCTGATAAATCAAATCTGGATATTAAAACCTGAATTGTCTATTTCGAGGATTTTTAAGAAGCATTTTTTGATGTTATAAAATTCTGGCGATTTGCAGGGGCAATTCTGACATCGAATTCGAATACATAGGAAAGTATTCTGGTCATTTGCACACAAGACTTTTTTTGTGGCGTTGTGTAATTTAATAATGGAAAGACATTTTGTAAAAGGTAGTTGATAGAACTCCTTGATGACGTCAACTAATGCCACAAGCAAAATGTTTCCCAAGTAAATTGTAGATGGCGCAGTTGTCAAAAGAAGTTTTTTCGTTCGAGGGAACTTTGCAAAGCGGTTGTCTGTGGCCACTCTTAAATTGTGCTCTATAAATATTTTCTTCTAGGTTTTGTCACAATTCCTGATCACAAAAAACTGCACACTGAAATAAAGTATTGAACAAGTTTGGCATATCTTCCATTAGCTAAACGTACACCATTTTTTTTAAAAGCTCCCACAAGAAAAAATCAAGTGGTGTCAAATCCATAATAAAAGAAGATCAGTTAAATTCCTATTTAAAATACGATAACAAACATTTATATCGAGTTTATTTTATTTACCGTTAATTGTTTTACATCTTGGTATATTATCGGACTGATAATGGTAATTACGGGTATTTTAATAAGACCGTTACAATGGACATTCATCACTCCATCAAATTATCTTTAGAATATTATTTTCAGTTTCGAGTCTCTCTAACTTTATTGATATCCAAACTATTAAATTATCGAAATGAAATTTATTTATGATACCATTTGGTTAAAAATAAAAACGAAGCAGAAAAAAGCAATGGTCAAGTAGTTATTTTTTATGATAGTTTGCGAAATGAAATTTTTGCATTCGAAATTGAAAAAATTATTCGAGAATGCAAAAGAATTTCGCAATCAAGTATTAAACAACACTTTTTTCGAAAACTGTATCACAAAAATTATTAAAAAGGCGAATGAAAAATTTTGACATTTAAAACTAATTTATTTTTATCATCTTATAATCGGACTTTTATCCACGCATATGAACCGCCTAAAGTGATACCTACTTTATCCACTAGTGGAATAAAGTAACATTATTTCATTAGTAGAAATAATAATAAACTTATAATAAATCAAATTTAATTTATTTACTTATTAACATTAACATTTACATTTATAGTATCTAATAGACATTTCGTTTTTAGTTTTATCACATTTAACTTCCTTTCGGTTAATAACAACCCTTGTAGCATTGTTGCCACAGTTTCGGAACGCATATCATCTGCCGAAGTTTGTGAAGAATTTGTACAAGTTACGGATGTATCTTCTTGTAAGGAACAGCTATATTTTCCATGGATTTTCCTTACAATATCAAGTTTATTAGATATAGACTCCTCAGCATAATTTTCTGCCACAGAGGAGCTCTTCCATCTACCACGGGGTTTGATAGTAAGATCGGCACCTTTATTGGCCAATAAAGTTGTTGAAGTGCGTCCCATACAATGGCCAGTATATGCTTCTGGATTTGCGATATTCAGGAATGAAGCAACTATTGAGGGTACCTTCGCCAATGATTGATGTTGTCTTAAAGAGAATATGTCTTGTGTTAGGCGAATTGGGCGCAGAGAAATATATTTTCTGCTTATTTTAACAGCATTCACGCAAAATCCTTCTTCTATATTTAAATTTTCGTGAAATGCCCGTCTTGGTGTCAGATATTGAAACAAGTAGTAACTGCCAACGTCCTGTACGTCACCAATTTTCAAATTTGTCAATTCGCAGCATCGACAGGCACCAGAAACACTCATTATTAGTGCAACCTAAAATAATTCAAAGTTCACTATAGGTATACCTAACAACATGTAAAAGGTAAAGAGATATTACCTTAATCATTAAATATTCTTTATCAGAAGCCCCAGTAAAATATTCTTCAATATGTGCTCTTTCCAACACTGCAGCTATTTTTGCTTTGTATCCTCTCGATTCACTCTTCGAATAAGCAGTAATCTTGTTATATTTTCCAATATCTATATATTTGTAGACCTTTATAATAGCCTTCAACATCGAATACTTCGACCACATAAACGAAATTGCATATTTTTTCTTCAAATTTAAAAAATACAATAGCATGACTTCTTCATTTATTGTCATTACTCTCCGTTCTTTCCTCCATTCGTTAAAATTGGTGAACACTTTTTCGTAATGTTCCTTGGATTCGCTGGCAATAAATAGGAAATTGCTTTTTAAGCTTCTTCAAATACAGCCACAGGAACACAATTACTTTCTTGCATTTTTACCAAATTCAGATAGAACTGTTTATTAAATAAATGATAATATACAACGTACCATAGCAGCCAGCAGGTATAATAAAACCTACCACGTTTCGTTGAGTAGGTACTAGTAAGAAATACAAAGTCGTGCGAATATTTTTTTTGTTAGATTCCAATAATTCTGACTCAAATATGATTGTGATGTGATTATTGATAAAATGTTGTATTGCATTCGTGTTTGAATTGCCTTTTATCCTTGTGGATAAAATGCTACTTAAAACACTTATACAATAAATAACTATTAGATAGACTAACAACGGCAAATAAATAAGATTATGTATAATTTTCTCAATAAGCAATACTTCTAGGTATTATGTATACTTGAATATTGTACTTTATTGATGTTTTTTTATATTATATGAATATGTAACTATGTTTTGTATATGAAAATAAAGTTGAATTATTATTATTGTTGTTGCTTTTGACGAGATTAATACGCAGTTAAAATTGTAGCATATGTATATCTATAGTATACACCGCATTTTCAATTTAGCCCTAAGTTCGTACAGCGACTCGAGGAGAATGGTACACCCTGTATATCCCTGAATTCATTGCCAATGCCTTATCAAACCTATTTATGTAAAATAATTTCGATTGCACGAAATTACACCTCTGGCACGGAAAACGCTTTAAAAGGGGCGCCTGAAAGCATGAAAATTTAAAAATAATAGAATTATTTTACATTCGCCACATGTCCAGACACGCCACACACTCGAAATGATTAACCAGAAGCAATTTACAAAATGCGGTAATACATTTAAGTGTATATAAATAAAAGTAACGTCGACAGCGTATCATTACCGTTATCGAGTTGGATCAGAAACAGTCACAAAATCAGACCCGTTCAATTCAATAACAATAATGACGTGTTTCGGGAGAGATGCGTGCCAATATTGCCTCGCATTACCTAAAGTGGTTGATGGTTCCGATTGCATAGAAAACTGTTTTAAAGGTTTACTAATTCCGCCTTATCTGCCCTTCATCGCTGCAACCCCTAATAGGAACTTAAAAGGGTTTCCCAGAGCCCAAAGGTGTGCTCTAAATAGAGCATTACATAAGCTTTTCGTAATCTTACTGACGCTGGAGCGTTGTTATAGTTATACCTCTCCGGTTTTGGCTGATCTTTAACCTGAGATAGTGCTAATGGTTTATAATTTAATTTCGGAATTTATAATTCGGATGTGGATTAATGTCAAAACGTCATTAGGTGTGTGTTGACGATTTAAAAAGCTGAAAGAAGGTAAAAAGGCACAAAGAAGAATACGAGGGACGTCAGTCCTTGAGGAAGGCACGGTCTTCTAAGAAGTGGAAGATCTGATAGGAAATTTGAGAGATTCAGTTTATTTGTACCAGCAACAGCGGCGGATGATGAAATTTTAAGTGTTCAGATTTCTATAAAGAAGCATTGGACCCATACCGTGTTTTAGGGGATGATTTCCAGGTCCGCTAAAAGAACATTTATGATAAAAGAATTTAAATCGAAATTTGCGAAATACTTATTTAAAAATGGAGGTCACGAAAAGGGTTGCAAAATAACTTTATCAAAATATGACCACTTTGCTCCTCACCAGCTGCCACTAGGTACAAAATATCTGTTGCTTCCCAGTAAAAAATTATTCTGTATATTTTTCACAGAATTGACGACTATCATAAAGAAAGAAACACTTAAGAGCTAAACACCGTTTTGAAGTCAATTCAGCTTGACAAAGATGTATTCGTGATCACTAGCTGTCTTTATACATATTTTAGTAAGGCAAAAAAAATGTTTGTATGTACAGGGGACTCTTACAAATACAATTTTGTAAAGAAAAAACCAAAAAGGGCAGTTCGAAAATGATTTTAAAATACACTTCTGCCAGGAAATATAGAGTTGGACGCGACTTTTTGTTTCGGCAAGAAAACAGTAATGTACTTTTTTTCGTCTTTTATAGACGAAAAAAAAGTACTGTTTTCTCGTGGAAATTAACGGAAAAAGTTATACCTAAGCGAAAAACGTGAATTTACGTAAAAATTATACAATTAACCACCCTGTAAACAATCTTCCCATCATTTTTATGACTGTGGAAACTAATATGTTATTGTACGTAATATTTAGCATCTACAGTGATAAATTCAGCTTGCCGAAACAAAAAGTCGCCAAATGGTCATTTCTCAGCTTATTTTCCTGGGCTATCTTCACCATAGCACAGATGCTTCACCATAATACAAAATGTTGTCTTGCTTCACAATAAATTAAAACGGTATCCATCAACTGCGAGTTGCTATACGCGCAAGTCATTTTTGACACTAACTACTAAAAAACTGTTCTAAACACCACAGATAACAGGTAAACACTAATGCAACGATGATTGTAAAATAGGATTTCAGTATTCGGAGTCGCTGAGGCCACGTGGCTTTCTACGCGTATTGCGAATGACGCTAGAGGCTACAGTTGTCCAGCTATGTAATGGTTGAATGTACTACAACTTCAATAATTTTTTTCTCTGAATAAGGATTTTAGAAAAAATAGTTTACGATATTGACTCCATTTCCTACACCGCATCTATTCCCAAATTTTTTTGGATAAGTTGTGAATCCGGCAGGATCAAAATCTGTAGCCAGAAAAACAATTTAACATCAACTTAAAGAGGCAAACAATGTTGTATTTTTAAGGTAAGAACTGTTGTCACCGGGTTCATACTTTTCTAATTTATAAAATTGCCCACTTTTAAATATGAAAATCGTAAATAAATGAAACTAATTTTCTGTCAAATCAGAAATTGAACAAACAATTAATTCTGTTATAAAATATTTTCCATTGTCAAACAATTTGTTTGACAGCCGTATCTGATTCCATTATTATTATATTATTATACAAGGTGTTCGCAAATATCATCGACAACGTTTGACTGCATATTCACGACGATAAATAAATACGAGCTACAAAAAAAAGTTAAATAAAAAATGTTTGGTTTTTGAGTTGCAGGCCTTCAAAGTTGTCAAAAATAAAACTAATTTAATTAATAACTTCATAACCATTTTACCGATCACGTTAAAATTTGGCGCATTTATTTGGAGTATAATGGCCTATTATTTCTTAAAGCTTTAGTAGAATTAATACCTATACTGTGTCATAGTTTTCTCCGGTTACCTCTCCCTTTTAGCGATCAAAACTTTTACAGGGGTCATATTTTTTTAAAACAATACTGAAAAGGTCGATTTATTAAAAAAATATATTGTCTCTAGAGAAAGTCGCCTACAGAAAGTCATTCTTGAGAAAAATAGCTTATTTGCATGTCTGTAATTTCGGAATTAAAACTTTTGAGTTCAATAGGCGATGTTGATTGCTGTGGCTATCAGGCAATGTCATTATTGTCGTGTTTCTTTAGGATTGTCATCACTCCACACTTGCAAATTATGACGTGTTCGCAGTGTATCAAGATAAAATGTATGTAAAACTAATGTTCACAAAACTTTAAAAAAGCAACTTCT